TTCACTAGAATGTAGGATCTATGAGGCTGGAGATCTTTGCTTTGCACAGTGATATATCCTAAGTGCCCAAACAGTGCCTGGCACATGATACGTGCTCAGTTACCTTTTCCTGAGATAGAGAACATGGAAGAATACCAGATATGAGGATGAAGATTATTTATTCTGTTTCAGACATGTTGGGTTTGAAGGTTTTTTGCAACATCACTGAGGAGATGTCAAGTGGCCAGTTAAGTACAAAGATCTGGAGCTCAGAGGAAAGATCTATGCTTGCCATTTAAAGATGTAAGTTACAGACGTAGGGCTGGCCCTCATGCTATTTGTGTGTGTGACATTGCCTGGAGAGAGTGAATGTGAGAAAAGAGCTTACAGAAAGAGAAGGAATGACCAGATAGGTAGGAGAAAGAGAAGTCAAAGGAAGAAAGTGCTTGAAGAAGATGGGAATGGCTAACTGAGAGTTTGATCTCTCAAATGATTCTGAGATGTCATTACAATGATGACTGAAAAATGTCACTTGGATATAGCAACATGCAGGTCATTGGTGACCATTGCACAAGGTCTTTTGGTGCAGTGACAGATATGGGTGCCAAATTGTAGTGGCATCAAGAGTAAGCAGTAAGTGCGGAAATCTGGATAATCAATATTAACAACTCTTTGAGCATTTTGGATGAGAAAGAAACAGAGAAAGAGGAGAGCAGCTGAAGTGGGATATAGGCTTGCGGATGGATAAAAAAATAACTGAGAGAGACCTAAACTGGTAAAAAGCTGATGGCAATGATACAGCAGATACAGAGAGACAGAGGGACAGGGAGAGCGAGAAGGAGAGATCGATAGATATTGGATTTATGAATAAATGGAAAAGTAAGATGTAAAATTGCTGAGAAGAGAGAAGGAGATGGAGTCTAACAAAAGTGGGAGGATTAGTCTTTAATAAGAGGAGTCTTAAATAGCTTCTCTATCGTAACAGGAGAGAGGGGCGTGTAAATGAGCAGGTGTGTAGGTTTAGATTTAGGTAGGTGAGGCAATTCCCATTTGATAGCTTTTATTCTCTCTGTAAGGTGAGAATTAGGGTGGGCCCTCTTCTGAGAGTGAGGGTGGAAGAGTAGGAGGAGGTAGTTTGAGGAGAATGGAGAAGGCTTTAAATCAGCAATCAAGTAGTCCTCTTGGGTAACTTTTTACAGCCGTATTCAACTGTGCAGCTGTAGATATAGAAGGAGAAGATTGTTGGATTCATCTGGTGGTTGATTTTTACAGGATGGGTGAGAAGAAAATCCAGAGGGGTAAGGGGGTTCAGGGCTAGCAAGAATATCATTGAAATAATGGTCCAGAGATTCTAAAGAAGGTATGTAGGGAAATGAAAAAAGGAGAGAGCTGACAGACTGGGAGAAGATAGAGGGATCAATGGACAGTAGGTCCCAAAAGAGTCAGAGAATGGCTGTTGTGAAAATAGTTGAATCAGCAAGCTGGGAGGCAAAAATGGAGTTAAGAATGTAGAAGAGAGTGATAGGAAGGCCTCCCAATGGAACCAAATTGACTCAAGAAAATATCCTAGTTAGGTAGATTGTCCATACCTGTTATATAAACCAGCATGACAGCTTTCAAAATACATGTAGTTCTTAAGATACAAGAAGTGAGTTTTCACCAACAGGATTAATAAAATATAAGAACTACATATATGAAATATGTGCAGATCAATCAGATGCATCCTTCCCTACTCACACCATGGAATGCTGTGCCTGTGCTTGGCTTACAGTTTCAAGCATGTGGAGGGTAGATTCTGGAAAAGGGTGCCATCTGGAGAGAAGGTTGTTGAATCCATTGAAATGAAGCTTAGGAATTGTCCTACCAGTTTATCTTGCCTGGCATTATTCACTCAACAGTAAAGTCTGCGAGTTGCGTTACATTCAGAGGACCCTCAAAGGGCCTTTGAATAATGCAGCATTTGCAGCAATAGTCCTAGTGGACATGAGTGCAAGAGGAAAGTTATGCACTTGAGGAGCATGCTGAAATGGCTTCTAAGTTTTTCTTAGTGCTGAATTTCTTCTAAGTATTTCTTTCTCTTCACCTCATGATAAAGCAAACAATTTCCTAGTCACTGGAGAAAAGATTTGCACTAAACATGAATATAGTTTCCAGAGGTCAAGTACTTGCTGATATATACTTATATGAGATATTAAAATGAGCCTCTAGCACTTTCTCCACTGACTCTCCATTTGTGAATACTCAGTGGGATGTATTTGGCCACAGGATTCCAGATAGCACTGAGGCCACTGTGAATTTGCCACTCAAGAAGATTATCCCTATAGTGCTCCTATGACCACCTTAACAGAAAAACCTTTTCCACTGCTGTAGAAGCCGAAGAATGTTCATAACTTCTTACCTCTGTGGATGTATTTTACCACTCTTTTTAACCAAAACAGGGCTTCTCAGGGGTACTTTTCTCAAAATAATGTCTAGTTTAAGTGCTGCTTCTCTACAATGTCTTACCTGATGATCCAGCAAGAAATCAGATTCTTACCTTCTGAATTCCCATGGCACCTTAGCTATAAGTTTCATGGTGCTTATCATTTGCTTCCTTGAAATGTAGTTATTTTATTTAAGTACATATCTCTCCTACAAGACTGTGAGCTTTTGAGGGATAGTTGGTCTGAAATCATTGTTGTATCCATCACTATGCTTATCATAATTAGTAGGTGTTCAATAACTGGTTGTTGAGTAAATGAAATAAATAAGTCAATTCTATTACTGTCTCTATTGGGCTGCAGTCCCACACTTGCTTTTTATAGGTAAATGTTATCTCCAAGCCTGAAAGGGTACCATCCACCCAATGCTGGTGTTGTAATCAATGTGCTATTGCAGATCTTATATTATATTGTGTCAGTGTGTGGTTTGCAAACTTGGGAGCTTCCCAGGTGAAATCTGAAACCGGCTCCTGTACACGGAGGGAAAGCCGATACTGAAGAAAGAGGCAGACTACTCCACATTGGTAGGTGGCACGTTTAATAAGCAAGAGAACTTATGTATGAGTCTTGTCTTGTGTGGCTGCAAGAGGAGTAGATTTCCACACCCGCCTGCCAGAATCTTAAAAGTTTGTACAGAGGCCTTAACTAGATTCAGTCATGTGTAGCGTCCAGATGGTCTCAACAACACATTGCTCTCTCAAGGCTGCGTCCTTGAAAATGGCTCCAGCTGTGGGAATGGTGGACAGAATGTACATTCCAAGGACGGGGGGGAGGTGAGGAGCCTCTGAATGCTCAGGTCCAGCTTGTGAGTCAACTGGTGGTCATGTCCTTTCAATGACCTCCTCCAACATGGTGCCATGTCTTCTTGCAGATCAAATTGTAAATTAACTCTGAATGATCTCACGTTGGCTGGTAGATTAAACCAGGTGCAGAGGAAATGGGTCAGTAAAGACAACCTAGGAAATCAAGCCGTTCTCAAGCTAACATCATATGTTCTTTCAAATAATGTCTCTCATGGAGAATTCTTAAAATTACAGAGGGTGTCATCACATCACAGTGTGTGTAGTGAACACTGCTTGCAATATGTGTTAGTGAACAAGAATTGATTCTGATGTAGGAGGAATAAAGCAGAAATGGAGAATCACATATGCTTTGCAATTCAGAAGAACCTATCAGAGTTGCCTTTTTATCCATGGGAAATTATCAGGTACTGGTTATGTACTGGAAACGATCAAGTATGGGAACTTTCTCTTAGAACAACTTCTTGATTAGGATAAGGCTCTATCTCAAAGGTCATTTATTTTTCAAAATTAGATATTTTTTATAGGGGGAGAACCAACAAGACCTGGTCGTGCATGGCATGGAGGGAGGATGGAGAAGTGAGGGGTCTCGGGGTTATTGGAAGAGTGGAGTTTCTGTTAGCACAAATATGGAAGTTAGGAGAAGAACTAGTTTGAAGGTAAGGATAGAGAAGGAGATAGTTTGGTTTTGGACATGTTGAGAAGAGATGCTGCTAAGTACTAGGCATTGGAAATATATGATATAACTTAGAAGGAAGTTCAGGACTCAGAGAGATGGAGGAGATAGTTACACAGAGGTTATAGTTTAAGCTCTGAAACTATCGGAGGAGAAAATGCAAGGAGAGTCAGAAGTCCAGAGAGAATCATGAGAAACACCTTCAGTAGTGGGATCAGAAGAGCTGCTCCTACTGAGTGACTCAAATCACTTTTAATTCCATCTTACACTCCTGTTGAAAAAGTCACTGCCCTAAGCTAGCCATTTGTAATAAAAGAATTTCCAGACATCATTTCTGGAAGGAGATTGAACTAAGCAAAATTTAAAGTATTGGAAGACAAGAACTTTACCTGAAATGTCACTATTGCACCTCATCATCCACTCACAAATGGATGGGCTGCAGGGGCAGTGTGGATGGCGGAGGATGTCCTGAGAGATTGTCAGTGTTTAACTGGCCACAGGACAGGCTCTTCTGCATTGTTCAACTTGTCACTAAATACATGGTCAGTCATATTTAACTTTGATGAATTATTAATGGATGAAAACTTATTTTATCCAGATTCATAGAGATTTGGGTTAGGACTAATGAGACAAACAACAGTGACGTCTGGATAATGTCTTGTCTACACCTACTCACCAATATTTTATCACAGTATTAGGCAGTCTTTGCTTATACCTCTTGGCCAAGGTGATTCTTGCCGTGGTAATTCATAGCCCTTTGGAATAATACCAAATTGACAAAAATGTTTAAAGGATCAAGATGAAATATCATTAAAAGTTCATGTACTCCTGAAAAACATTTCAGAAAGAGGTGATTTGCTCTGCCTTGAATGTCGTTGTAGTCATTTGTTCATTTATTAGTGTGATTTAGTGACTAACCTCATTTCATCCCCTAAAGTACACACAGTAAAATCTCTCAGAATGCTGCTGCTCTGATTGGAGAGCGGTACTCTAAAATTTCATGCCATGTATTGAATTGCTTTGTAATATTAAAACCAGGTTTTATTTTCTCCTCTTTTACTTTAGGTCTTGAGAGCTGATGACGATAACATGGGTGATGGCTGCTCTCAGAAGCTGGCGGCTGCTAGTATTCTCCGTTTCCTGTTGCTGGTCCTGATTCCGTGTATCTGTGCTCTTATTGTCCTGCTGGTGATTCTGCTTTCCTTTGTTGGTGAGTGATGCCATTAACAGAAAAATGAAGTCAAAATTAAAATTAGCATGATTTATAAGAGTGATGTCTACTTGGTACTTACTTATCCTAAAGTGTCAACTCAGTGAAAGGATTATCCGTTGATTATCTTATGCAAATCTGTAGTTTCAGCCATTGTAATCACTCGGCTAGTTATTATTATTAATATTAATTAATAAATTAATCCAAAGCTTTTAAGGAGTGATTACTAGGTACCAAGCACTTTGAAAGTCCCTGAGAACTCGAGGATGGTTAAATTAGTCCTTCTTTCTTAGGAACTCACAGATGAGAGGAAGAGATGATTATTATGCAAAACATGTTGATGATAGAGGTGTATACAAGGTGCTTTGGGGAAGTCAAAGAAAGCATCACAGAGCATTAACATTTTGACCTTTGGAATAGTTAATAGAAATTCTGGTTAGAAGGCAGTAGTACATGGGTCTGGCAGAGAAAATAGCAAATGCCAAAATGTAACTCCATGAAAGGTGGACACAGACTTAGGAAATTGGGTGAAATTTTGGCAGTTGTAGGAAATGCAGCTAGACTTGATACCGGCTCAAGACAAGGTTGACATAAGGGAAGCCATATTGTAGAAAAGAAAAACTCTATTGTAACTTTGAATGACCTCTGACAAACTAACCCAGCTGGATCTGCACCCTCCAGGAGATCAAACTGCTCTGTAGATTTTACGACCACTGCTTGTGCATGTACCTCCCAGCTGCGGTAAGATGATAACTTTGTTTTTTTGAGTTCCTTAGGAATGTGAGGACCCTCAAACAGAGAATCTATGCTGATAGCCATCATCAGTGAAAACTGAAAGATCTGGTGTGGCACTCCCAGTCTGTACCACCAGAAGGTCAACATTCCTAACCCCCTCCCCAATAACACAATGGCCTATATAACTGCTGGTTATAAAGGTTCTTTTGGACATGAGTCGGCCATCTTCCCTCTTGCTAGCAAGCTGTAATAAAAAGTCCATTTTCTCCTACCACCTTGCCTCTTGACTATTGGCATGTCTTGCGGCGAGCAGAAGGCCCCACGTTGGGCGGTAACAGACTGATGAAGTCCAAATGACACAGAATCTTGCATGTCTTCCTAAGGGATTTGTGCTTTAGCACCTAGGTCATTGGTTTTCAAACTCTAGTCTATGGAACCAAGGTTCTGAGGAGGAGACTCAAGGATCGCACAAATATATGCTTTTACTTTCTAATTTAAAAATTAGATCTTAAACACACTCTAAATATTACATACCAATTTTTAAGCAAGTGGAGACCAGCAACCAAGTAATTTGTGCTGACAGATTAATTCACTTGTATTTGGATCTTGCTCTCTCTTTTAAATCAACAATATCCTAAGTTTAAAAGGTGAGCTGTTGGGGAAATAAAAACAAACCTCAAAGCATTACCATTGGTAGCTACCGATTGCTATGTATCAGGATTTTTTTGAAATTGCACAATCAAATAAAATAGAGAAATAAATATCAAGATGATGCTGATCTAATTGCATTACCAATGATTTTGATTTTTTTTCACCAAAACTACTTTATTTTCTCATTGATTGGTTTTTAAGTTATACATTTACAACTTATAAAGTAAATTAATTCCAATAAAATATAGCTCATATCTATTTGTGATATTAGGATCTTATATGATATTTATTTGAAAATAATATTTATCTGCTACAAAAATGCTTGAAAACCACTGCTATGGGTGGTGGTTTACCACTGGAGGATCGTTCTAAGTGGGGAGAAACCCGATCATATTTCCGTTTGCAAAAGGCAATAGACCTGGATACACTACAGAAGACTGGAGGCAGAAAGAAATGAAAGCAGGGAGACCAATTTGGGACTCTGGCTCTGGTCTAAGTAAAAGATGATAGGGGCTTGAATTAAGGTATTTGGTGCATTAAAATCAACAGAAATCAAGCTGATTGGATTTTGGTGTGAGAGAGAAGGAGGTGTCAGTGTTGATTCCCAGAATTCTGGTGTGGGCAACCAGATTGATTTTGGTGCCATCTGTTAATGTAGGAAGTAAATGTCGAGGAGTAGGTTGCAGGTAGAAGGAGGGTGGGGCCAGGTTTGGTTTGGACACATTAACTTCGAGATAATTGTGGGACAACCAAATACAGTGGAGTTATAGTGTAAGTGCATTTATCTTGGGCAAATTCAACAGTGCAGGCTGGGCCCGGACGTGGTGGAATGTGGGAACTCTGACGTGTTGCCTTGGTATGGGAATTTCAAGGGAAATTGTGCCTATATATGATTTTTGGCTTGTGTGTTGGCTTTAGAATTTAACTCCCACCCTACTGTAACTGGGCTGAAGCTAGAAGTATCCAGAAAGTATGCTGAGAAGGGAGTCCTGACTATAGTTATGAAGCTGGGAGTCTCAGTGGTAGTTGAAGCAGCAGGAGTGGATCAACTGTGAAGAGAAAGTGTATCGATTAAAAGCTGAGGGCAAAGCCCTGGAAGATGCTGGTATTTAAGGGGATGACAAAGAAAGAGGAGGAAGCAAGACATACAGGTAGAACGGTCAGAGAAGAAGGAAAGGAACTCGGAAACGCTGGGTTTCACGGAAGCCGAGGGAGGAGAGACATGTTAGAGGTCAGAGGGTGACAAGTAAGAGGAGGACAGAAAAAGTTCTCAGCCCAGGAAGACTGCAGGTTTTCCATTGGGGTTTTAGTCACCCTGCCGCACGTGGTGCCAACTGTGGCGTGCTCCCAGGCGAACGCGGGACAAAACCCTGAAACTCGTTTCTGCCGCTGTCTTCTTCCAAGACTCAGTCAGCTCCCCTTCCACAGTTGGCCTGTTTTTTTCCTCTCCAGTGCCTTCAGGTAGTCGCTTTTTTGTGTTTTCTCCAGAGTTTGTAGTTGTCATCTCTGGGAGCGTCTGTCTGGTAGAAGCTCCCTCAGTCATACCACTGTCACTTTTAAGTCTAATTCTCATAGTACTGTGTTGAATGGCTCACACACATTGCAGAATATTCCCTGTCATTCTCCGGGTAGAATGCTAATATAAGTTTAAAACATACTTCTAAGTACCTCAGTGCTTAGAGGCTTCTGAGCAGAGGAGGGATGCCATTAAAACAGTGCTTTAAGTGGGTTATTTTTATTTATTTATTTATTAAAGTTTTAATTTTTTTACAGCTTTATTGAAATATAATTCACATACTATCCAATTCACCCATTTAAAGTGTATAATTCCATAATTTTTAGTATATTCACAGATAAGTGCCACCATCACCACAGTCAATTTTGGAACATTTTCATCACTTCAAGAAGAAACTGTTTCCTTTCGGTATCTGTCACCGCCCTATCTTTCTATCTCCTCCCTGCCCCAGCCCTAAGCCATCACTAATCTACTTTCTGTCTCTAGAGATAGCCCTATTCTGGACATTTCATATGACCATATGTGGTTTTTGTGACTTCTTTCAAAAACATAATATTTTCAAGGTTCATCCATGTTGTGGTATGTATCAGTACTTCCTTCCTTCTTATGGCCAAACAATATTCCATGGTATGGATTTACTGTATTTTGTTTATCAGTTTATCAATTGATGGACATTTTAGTTGTTTCCATCTTTTGGCTATTACGAATAATATTGCTCTGAACATTCATGTACAAGTTTTTGTGTAGACATACGTTTTCATTTCTCTTGGGTTTATACCTAGGAGTAGGATTTTTTTTATTGTTTATGTTTGGGATTAGGAAGTGTACCAATTTGTAACCACTTCTAAGTGCTATTTTTGGCTTACATGTAGGTAACCTTTAGAAAGTGGAGGTTTCCCAGACATTTTCTTTAAAAACATTTCATAAGTTTTGCACCAGATGATTTGATACAGATATATTAAGTAACATCTGCCCAAATAAACATTTCCTATTTTATAATTGAAATGTTTGTTGTTATAATGAGCAATAAAACCATTTTATGCCTTTGTTTAAAAAAACTCATTAAAGTCGGCCTTTAAAAATGTCCTGTTTGGTTTGAGTTTATAACTCCATGCTCTTTCAAAGTTTTATAGTTATTTCTGGGTCCATAAGTGTTGCTAAGGGATGCTGGAATGCCAATTGTATATAAATAACAGGAGCTCTATCTTCAAAAGAACAAGAGATAATAGTGAGAGGATTACTGATCGGGAAAAGATAATAAAAGCCTTATGCTAACAGACACAGATGCACTATGTGTCTCTCATTTTGTCTGTTTGGGCTTCTCTCGTGTGTAAAGTCAAGATGGTAAAAAGATTTCTGAAGATAAGAGAGTTGGACTTTCTGAATAATTATTTCAGCAGCAGACCATAGAAGAGAGCAGTAACAAATTATTTTTCTTCTCGATCCCCTAAACTGAAGCTGGAGGTGTAAAGGTTTAGTTTAGTTTAGTTTAGTTTAGTATTTCTAAAATCAGCTGATAGTCTGAGTTGTCTTTATGAGTCCAAAGATTTGGACTCTAAAATAAAGATTCAGGGGCCGGCCCGGTGGCCCAAGCGGTTAAGTGTGTGCGCTCCGCTGCGGCGGCCCCGGGGTTCACCGGTTCGGATCCCGGGCGTGCACCGGCACACCACTTGGCAAGCCATGCTGTGGCGGCGTCCCATATAAAGTGGAGGAAGATGGGCACAGATGTTAGCCCAGGCCCAGTCTTCCTCAGCAAAAACGAGGAGGATTGGCGTTGAATGTTAGCTCAGGGCTGGTCCTCCTCACAAAAAAAATAAAACAAAATAAAGATTCAGGTTTTTGAAAAAAATTGAAAGGAAAATTGAGGAGTAAGAAAGGTACAATATTATACCTAAGTTTTTATTTCTTCAGTTATAATCTAATACTGAAGGGCCATGTGACATAGAAGAAAGAATTTGTAACTTGACACTGAGAGGTGTGAGTTTAGCGTATGACTCCTCCGTTTTCTGGACATGTGACTTTTGGTCAGATGCTTTACCATCTCTGCGAGATGGGGAAATATAATTTTACTCATTTCACAGAACTGTTACAGAAGTCA